AAAAAAAAAAAAAAAAAAAAAAAAAAAAAAAAAAAAAAAACCCGAACATGAGAATCACTGCCAGATATTAATCCGGCTAATCCAGGATGTAGTAAATGTTTGTCTTGTCAAATGTCACAGATACCACGCATCAACTAGACAAAAATTATCTTATCTTAAACGTTGTGAATAAAACAATTCAACCTACACGTTGAAACATTTCAATTCATTGACAAGAGATATGATCATTGTAGTTTTTTTTAAGTATTAGTGATAATAACGATATAGTGATTCGATATATGCTCTGCGGGATAAGTTAGCCTTCAGCGTGACATTGTCCATATAGCCTGTGTACATCCCCATCCCACCCCTACACAGTAAAAAGCTACACAGGCCATCCATGAATAAATATTTCATAATTCAACTTTGTTTTAAATATATATATCAATCCATCCATTCACGAATTTTCTTTTGTTTATTTATTTATTTATCTATTTATTTATTTGTTTGTCTGTTTGTTTGTTTGATTAATTGTTTGTTTTTTCATTTTTTTAAAAATTTTAAGGGGGTCCAGATAGGGGTCCAGAAAGGTCCATATAGGGGTCCAAATTTGGGGGTCCACCGTTTTGACGACGCACGACTAACGCCATTTTAAGAACAAATTGACCGAATTCTTAAAGTCCTTTAAAATCATTAAATAAATGATCATGGCAGAAGTAGCCGACTTCACTTTGATAGATAGCTATACACTTGGTTACAAAGCTTATCATAATGCAACGGATCAGCAACAAAACAACCTCGCTTGTCTACAGCAACACATTCCAACTGCATTACAAAGGCTACAACTTGGCAAAGACAAACCGAGGTTCAGCATACTCAGTATTGGAGCTGGTGATGGATTTATTGATCAGGAAATACTGAAGATTGTGCAAGAAGGATATCTGAATGCAGGCGACAAACAGTTGCAAGAAGTTGAAATCCTGAATACAGCAATTGAACCAAATACTGCGTTCCTTGGCCAATACAAAGAATCCATTGAAAGGCCATCTGACGAGACAAAAGGTCCTTCAAATCAAAGGTCAGTTCAGTTTGATCTCAAACCGATGTCATTTGAGGAATACGCAAAGAGTAAACACGATCAAAACCAGTATGACCTGGTCCAAGCCATACACAGTCTATACTATGTGGAGAGCATGGAGTCTACATTGAAGCATTGCTATCACAACGAACTGGGAGAGAAAGGATTAATTGTATGCCTGCTTGGAGACAATTCCAATTTACCAGCAGTAACAGGTAAAATCTTAGAGAAATTTCGTTCTGAACGCCAAGGAAAGCTCTGCAGGAATAATGCAGCTGCAAACTTCATACACTTTGCCGAAAAGAATTCAATGAAGTATGAAAAGGTGGTTGTTCCTTTCTCGGTTGACGTGACAAGCGTTTTCGATGAAAGTTCTGAGGAAGGAGGTCATCTGCTTGACTTTTGTACACATGAAGTGAACTATCGTCAAACAGCCGACCCAGATGAGGTCAAGGAGGTTTTGAAGAAGATACAAGACATCTCTACTGAAGAAGATGATGGAAGGATGATTGTGAGTGGAACTAACGAACTTATATTGGTTTATAAAACTTCATAAACGATTATAAAAATGATTGTGGGTTGAATTACCGACCACTTATATAAACAATACAACAGTGAAAGAAAATATGCTATTACTTCTTTAGCCTTCACGTAGACGCTCTAAGGGTCGTCACGGAATGCTTCACGCTGCGTGGCCACTATGTACCAGTACTGAGCTATATATGACTTTTACCGACTTTATATACCAAATAAAATTACATAATTCATTACCTCAATAAAAAATAAACAGCAAATACAAATCTACCAACCAGTTGTTGCATAGAAATTAATCTGAGTGATTTTCGTTGTTGATTTAAGGTTACTGGAGACCTTCAGGGGTATGCTTCTCTTAAACTCTCTCTACGCAACACGTTCAATAAAACCCCCTAATACCGTATATCGTTTTAAAGGTCATATCATAAAGATAATATCATTTCAAAATGATTTTCTAATTTGAACAAATACCGAGCCTTAAACACAAATCGGGCACATTCCGTAGAGGTGACTGGAAATAGCGTTAGCGCGTATAGCCAAAATAACCTCACTATGTGAATAAGCTACAAAAGGGTGTGAGCTACAAAGAGGTGTGAGCTACAAAAGGGTGTGAGCGATTTTTGGGCCGGTAAAAATCTCAAATTGCCTGGTCATTTTTCCGATAATTGTTGGAGCATGCAGTACGCATTTCCACTAGGATTCGCGTACGTTCTAATGCTTTGTGGTTCCATTACTGTTTACAGCAATGCTTTATTTTGCTTTTGAATATGTGTACTGTAGTAATGGTGAAGTACGGACAAACTATAAACACTAAAAAAATTAAAATAAATATTAAATAATATTATAATAATATCAGATAAGTTTGTCAGTCCCCTTTAAATTCGTAATGAATACTGGCATTTAGATCAGTGGTAATATCGTCGACACTTAGTAGTCATTGGTCTATATTGTCGTTAATCGTGTGCAAAACTGCTCGGTTAATATATCGAGCCACATGACGATTTGGCTTAAGAGTTTGTTTAAGATTTTTACAACCTTTTTTGGCCACAAAGTAGGCGTGCATTCTTATCTTCTAGAGAAAAATAAGAGATTTAAAGATTTGTTTCTCCAAGGTATAATAATATGATATATGATGCTCTTTTATTATATCTATTGTGACTTGTTCTATAGATTGTTAAACTGTTTTTTTTATTAGTATAGTTGGAATACTAATAATAATAATAATAATGAAAATGAACAATAACGAAGAATAATGAAAACTTTATTATACGTTTTTCTTACAATTGTAAACCTCGCTTCCCAGGTAGTTTACAATCTTTTACTTGAATTTTCTACTTGATTAAACATTTAGTTTTTGTATATAATTCGAATGATTGTTACGATGACAATAGATGGCAAATGGGGGATAGATATTAATAAGGCTAATATTTAATACTTCATTAGGTCAGGATATTCCATTCTTTGTTTCTACAACAATAAAATGAAATAAGTCGTTCTTATGGCAATGTTCGTGATGTTTCTGACAGCATATTTTACATGTTTTTCATCAAAACCTTTTAAAAAGAATTTTAGCATCTCGAGAAATTAATCTTATATACTGAGCATCTTTAGCAAACACACCCAAGGCACTAAGAGACAGATTTGTGGGTTTAACTTGTTTGAACTGCTTACGTAGAGGGTCCATCACATCTTTATTTTTAGATTATTTGCGGGATGAGTTATTTTGAAGATTTGACTCGAAACCAACTGTTAGTGCAAGCATATACAGGCATTTATCAGAGGTTGTTATTAAAAGATCAGGACGATGATTGGCACTAGTTCTGAATGAGGAGCTTTCGAATCCAGGAAGATCAATGAACAAGGAAGAATCTTTGACAATTTTGGGAAGAAATTGTAGAATGGAGTGGTGTCTCCAAGTGAAGCGACCTTGTTCAAGATAAGACTTACATCTAGCCACAACATGGAGAAGAGATTCAGATGATAGACAGAACGAACAATCAGAAGAAATAAAGAAATACCCCACTTGACAAGGTTATTTCTGGTAGGAAGAGTGTATTGATGTAACGAATTGTGAAGTTATAACTTCACAATTCGTAAATTCAATAACTTTTTCTTATTGAATAAAATCGGATGGCCTGATTTAAAGTAAGCACCCTAGATACACGTTTGTATTAATTTTGATGTCTACCTAGCAATCGCCATTATTCACTGTCAGCCGGACGCTTGATCCAAGCTAGTGCGGCTCACTCCTACTCAGTCCCTTCATGGAGTCTTATAAATAAATATAAGTTCGTTAGTTGCATTTACAATCATCCTTCCATTACAGTCTTCAGTAGAATTGTCTTGAAGTAATATTTCAAATCCGACAATGAGGACAGGACGGGATTTCAAGTCCGCGCAATTAGTTTCAGTCCGAGGCGAAGCCGAGGACTGGAACTAATTGCAAGGACTTTGAAATCCCGTCCAGTCCGATTTGGAGGATTTGAAATGACTTCTCATACTCATTAATTATTCGGGAGGGATGTTGTTTTTATCTTGTATTTATTTCATTGTATATGATCTTCGCTCCATT